ATATAGTATTACAGGAGTATAAAAAAGGTGTCTGTTACATGTGCAAGTATAAATTATAATAGTAATACAAACAGTAGTTAAAAAAACTGTCCGTTACATGTGCAAGTATAAAATGTAATAGTAATACAAACAATATAAAAAAACTATGTTACATGTGCAAGCAAATGTAGCGTTATTAATCTACATAACTAGAATTTAACAGCTGTTGCTATTCAGCTTTGTTAAACCCTGAGAAAGATCAAACGAATTGGCAATGAAACTTATATCATATATATATATATATCCACAGGTATTTATATAATCAATAGAAGTTCATACACCAACTGGCTTGGTCTATACTTAATCAAAAGATTAATATTTAATTTAAGAGATTTAAATTAATAGCAAATGTTTATTTATTAATTCAGAAGATCTAAAGAGATCTTAGCTCGTTCAATGATCAGTATACACCACTCTGTGTTTATTTCCATCAAGAGTCAAGTTTAAAATGGTTAAGAAATTTATTACTAAAACAATTTAAAACGTGACAATTTAAAACAATTTATAAAAGACAATTCATAAAAGCTTTGGTATTAAAAACAACCTCTGTGTTGGATGGATCTAAGATGAAGTGTGTTTGTTTGCGGGTGAATGCAATGTTCTCAGAACGTGTATCTTGAGCGAAGAGGAGCGTTCTGGGTGAAAAGAATTTGGTTTGCAGATAAACTAAAGTTGTTCTTATTAAAGAGCATTCAGATGCAATCTTGTGTTCTACCTCACCGTTCAGACGACCCTCTGTTCAGATCCAGAGGTCATAGGAGGATGTTGATCAGCCTCTGGGTACTTGGTCCGGTAGGGGAGACCAGTGGTACCGACTCTCTGGTCCTAGAGTTGCCGCAGGCACACAGGTGTGGAATTGGTTTGCGTCTGAGCAGATTCTTGAGGAATCTCGTAGCGTCAGCTTTGTTCGTAGGTGTCGTTGTTGTGTCGGAGCAATTCTGCCAGCGTGACAGAGATAGCTTGTTTGGTTAAAGAGCGTCTGGGCGGCCGTCCCAACGTCTCTAGAACTCATTTGCAAAATGCTGAGAGTTCTGTTTTATAAGATGGGCATTTCCCTGGTCTACGAATCAGGTTCTGACATGTAGATTTAACATACCGCAGAAGCCCACCTTCCCAAGATAGAAAGCTCTGGTGTTATGGAAAAAGACATGAGTGCAGTTAACCTTAACCTGATTACTGTCCTGCATGGTGTGTTTAAGTGCAGGTGATCTTCTAGTCACTATTGAACATTACTGATTTTCATAATAATTATTAACCAAAGAATAATAATTCATTTCAGTAATTAAATACATTTATAATGAACCTTTGGTGATTTAACAGTAAAAGAGTTTATTATAAATGATTCTTCTGGAACGTGATAAAATCCTTGTCTTGCTGTGGAGGCAAAGGAAGTCAAGATCTGGTAAGGCAGTTCAGATTAAAGATGGTTTACAGCAGACTTCGCGTCTCCTGTGATGGATAATCTGTAGATAGAAGTACAGCCAGGACAGCTTGACCCAGCTGAGGGAAGTGTGACCTTTGGGACACAAATGAGGCCATTCATGTTGTAAAGGGTTTAATTTACATCTATTTAATGAGCCATAAGACATGAGATTTCATAGTGAATATGAAATCAATCTTATAGATCTTTGGGTACTTTTAACCAGAAGATTGGAACGTTTTATTGCAGGGATTATGTAACAACTTTGTATTAACTCTGAGACAAAAGAAAGAGTCAACTTTCAAAAATTTAAAGATTTATTACTAAACAAATTAAAACTAGACTAACTTTAAACACTAAATTTATGGTGTAACTAAGGTGAAGTGAGACGGAGAATGGTGTAGTGTGGAGTGTTGTTCAGAACCAGCAAATCCGGAGAAACGATTAGTTCTGATGGGAGTGAAGGTGATGTGTTCGTGCTAAGCTTTGGTTAGGAGATTCATAACACACATTGAGACGCCATTCTGTCGGCCTACGTACCCTTTCAGAAGTCCCCGTCTAGATCAGGAATGTCGAGGTCCAGCTTGACCCTCTCTGGAACCGAAGCCGGTAGGAAAAGCAGCAGTTGCCGACCAGACCAGTCTTGATACTTCAGGGTCACGACAGTTTTGTTGGCATCTAGCGAGACCCAAAACTGGGTCATGATGGTTCAGCTTTTATTCTGAAAAGAACCGTTGCAGCAGTTGGAACAGCAACAGATTTTATCCAGCTTGTCGTTGGTTCTTTCGGTTGAAGAGGAAAGTTACGGGTTGGCCACTCCGACAACTTCTCTAGAACGCTTTGAACTTGCGTTAAAGATGACGTGGCCATAGTTTTATACTTCGGATGTTTTGACTTATGAAAAGATTACAGATTTACCAAGCACCACCAAAACCACGCCTCCGTCAGATCTGGAAAATTCTGATTGGATCAGTAAAAGCCATGTGTGATGTGGCTTAACCTTTCGTGTGATCAGTCTCTAGTGGAAACATTTAAAGTTATATTACTTATTATAGGATTATAATATCAAGTATTTATTATTTTCATTTCACAAATTGGTTCACATTTTATTATTGACTAACAGTTTGTTTGATTAGCTTATTAAAAATAGAGTTTTTTGATTTATTAAAAAGGAAGAGTCCTTTGTCTTCATTCTTCTCTTGCGCTGGAAAGGAAAACAGTTTAGAAGCAAATGCATGAGACCTTGAACAATATCTCATGCAGATTAGTTCCTGCTGAGGAGAGGGGGGAAATGACTTTTAGGTGGAAAACAGTCATTCATTCCGTTACAATGTCGCTACACAAAGTATAAAGTATAATAATAGTAATAGAAACAGCATTAAAAAATTGTGTTACCAGACTGTATATTGTGTTATGAAATGAATGCTGGTCAGTGGGTTGAACTTCTTGTGTACCACTACGTCGCCTTGAGCAATCTCGATCTGCTGCTAAGTTAAACCAGCGGACAGCATGTTTACATATGTCATGGTTAAGCACGGGAGATGGGATTTTTTCCTCACAGAATCTGCAATCACAAAAGCAAACTTAAATGTTAATCATCATCCACCACTACAAATAATAATTAATTCAAACTGTAATGGAACCAAATGATGTTTTTTCCCCTCCTCTGCACAGGACTAGTCTGCATGAGATATGGTCTCAAGGTCTCATGCATTCGCTCTAACCTGCTTATTTTCAGCTCAAAAGAATGAACTCCTTTCTTTTAATTAATCAAAGAACTCTATTTTTAATAAAGCTAATCCAACCAAGTGTTAGTCAACAAATAAGATGTGACTGGTTGAAACATTCAGCAAACACTCAGATTAATACCTACACGGAGTAGATAGCCGCTTCTCTAACTCTTGCCACTTTTTACATTAATAATTTTATCATGAGTGTTTTATTAGTTCTTATATTTGCTTATCTCTTAATTTTTTTTCTATCTTACCTTCTGCACCAAAATACCGCAGCAATTTCCTAATGTTGTGACTTGGCACACATATGGCAATAAAAACTTCTGATTCTGATTTATTACAATCCTATAGAATATAAAGGTACTATGACTTTAAATGTTCCAACAGGACTCATGTCACGTAGCATTAAAAGACATGACACATTCCTTTCACTGATCCAATCAGAATCTGACAGATCCGACAGAGGCGTGGTTTTGATGGTGTTTGGTAACTCTGTCAACTTTTCATACAACCATAAACCATAACATCCGAAGTATAAAACTATGCCCACATCATCTCTAACGCCAGTTAAAAGCGTTCCATAGAAGTTGTTAAGAGTGGCCAATCCGTAACTTTCCTCTTTAACCGAAAGAACCAACGACAACCTGGAAAATTCGTTTTTGTTCAAACTGCTGCAACAGTTCCTTTCAAAATAAAAGCTGAACCATCAAGACCCAGGCTCGGGTCTCACCAGACGCCAACAAATTGTCGTGACCCGGAAGTATCTCAAGACGGGTGGTCGGTTGCCGTTGCCGTTGTCATGTTGTGGGTAATGGCTTTCACCCAGGACATGAAGAATCACAGGAGGGGAGAGGCGAGTATAATACTAATCGATTTATTTACAACATGAGACAAAAAATGAAAACCTAGAACTAAAGACGCTGCTTCTATGAACAGGAACAGGGGAGTACCGGAATCTACGGAGATCAAGAACAGAAGGTGAGCGAGACCAGAACCAGAGAACCAGTACAAAGAGAGTCTGTAACTGAGAGTTCTTACGGTCAGACACCAGGACAAGAGCGGAGGCGAACAGGGAGAGGTTGGTCCGGGCTGGGTGGTTCAGAACGTGGGCAGGCGGGCGGATGTGGAGAGAGGAGACCAGAGGATCCTTAAGCGGCGAGACGTGATGACAACTCCAGACAAGGCAGGTGGTGCAGGAACAGGATACTAAAACAGGATGCGGATTAATTAATTTCAAGGTAATCAGGAAGACAGGCAGATTCAGAGGCTAGAGGCTACCCATGTGAGAGTATCGACCGGCGCTGGAGTTGAGTCACACTGCTCCTTAAATCCTCTGCGCCTCAATTAGTGGAACTCGGAACAGCTGTGCAGTCTGCCGCGCCCACCTGAAACACAAAAACTGAACACACTTCACCAGAAGGTGGAGGCAAACCGTGACAGCCGTGGCTTCTTCTACATGCTCCGGCTCCATAAGGTCAAGCTGGACCTTTACACCTCCTGATCTAGACGGGGACGTCCGCTCAGGGTATGTAGACTGGCAAATGGCGTTGAATGTGTTTATGAACCTCCTAACCAAAGCTTAACGCGAAGACATCACCTTCAGTTCCCATCAGAACTAATCGCTTCTTCGGATTTGCTGGTTCTGATCAACATCACACGTCATCCATTCACCGTCTCATCCACTTTAGTTACACCATACATTTAGTGCTTAAGGTTAGTCTAGTTGAATTTGTTAGTAATAAAATTCTTAACTTTTAAACTTGACTCTCTCTCTTCTGTTGTCTCTGAATGAATACGAAGCAGTTATCTAATCCCTGCATTAAAAAGTTCCAATCTTCTGGTTTAATTAGCCTTACATATCCATAAGGTGGATTTCATATTTCCTATGGAATCCTTCGCCTTATGGCTTATTAAATAACATGTAATTTAAATCATTTCAAAACCAACAAAAAAAATTACCCACCAGAGCAGGGAAGGGTGCCCATAGTCAAACCTTCTCCCTCGCCAGGTAAGTGTGTGCACCTGGCTTGCAGACAAGGTTTGTTGTTGGCATGGTGGTGGTTCAACCGCAGGAGATGGTGGTGGCGGGACAGCAGGAGCTGGTGGCTGTATTGATGTTTTGGATTGGCTTCTGGATTTCTTTCTTGGATGTTCGTCTTCACTGTCATCAGAATCCCCCACAAAAATGACAATAATTTGGACAGGGAAATAACACTCAGTTGTCATGGTACTCTCATTTCCATAATCTTTAAGTAGTTATTTAAGTCAGTTTTTATACTAGGTAACCTGTATTGTCTTCTCGGACATAGAAACTTGGATGAATGTTCCATACACAACATTTGCATGCATGCTTCAATTACAATTCACAGGAAAACATGGAAAGATGCTTACATCGCCTTTGGCTTCCTCTTGGGTCGCATGTCCTCTTCCTCCTCTTCTGTCTGCAGGTTGGAAGTGTGGCATGACGTGACTAATTTAGGTGTTGTCTTGCCTCGAAGTACTGATCTAAAATTTGGTAAAAAATTATATTTTCAGATAATTGAAAGATTGAAGTCATACTTATTATATATAAAAATAATTATATATATATATATATATATATATATATATATATATATATATATATATATATATATATATAAGTAGCTTACCACATGATTTAAGAATTCGGACATCATACGTTTCCCATTCAGGTCCCGGCTCCTTTGCGTTTTTTACTGCCTGGTTCACGCTTGCATCACTTTTATAATTTGGCCAACAGGTCACGCTGTCATGAGCTGGGGTGAGTACTCGACATGTCATCTAATCATCTCTGAGTTTCTACCTGCAGGAGAGGGAGCGCAGCTGATCATCATCAGACTGATCAGCGGGGCGGCTTTAAAAGGAGGACGGTTATCCACATTCGATGCCGGATGATTATCTACTGCCGGGTAGATTCTAGCCACACTGTGATTTTGTAACTCGTCTCGTTTTAGTAACTTTGAAACTCGTTTAACCTGAGCTCGTTTTCCCGTTTGGATAATCACCCACAGACTCACCTCATCGTGGGATCCACTTCTGTCTTCAAGTCAGAGGATTATTTCACCGGTTCGTTGCCTGGATACCTTCTCCACCCAGCTGCCCCGCTCTCCACCGATCACGCTCTCTCTCCGCTGCCTCATCCTCATCCGCCTCGTCCATTCCACTCATCCACTCCGACTATCACAAGTCCCTTCTGGAAATCACCCCGGCTCACCTCCCCTCCACATTCATCCCGAACTTCCTCACCATAAGTTCCGTCTTCAAACATTCCTTCTGAACTACAACTCCCATCACTCACCTCTGGTCTCCCTCTCAGTTACCGCTTCCGGATTCGTCCTCCCGCTGGATCTCCAGTACGCCTTCAGTTCACCTCCACATTAAAATAAAATTATTATTTTTCTTTACCTCGTCTCCGTGCATGATTCTGTATGTCTTGGGTTAGACACCTACCTCAAAACATGACACACGCCGTCACTGTACCAGTTCTCGGGCACCACTGCTACAGTTTTGTTGACGGTGAACTCAACTAGGTGGAACACCCTAATTGAAAAGGAGAAACACAAAACATTATGTTTTCAAATATGAAATTTTTACTGAAGATGCAATTGATCAAATACTTTCTGTAACTAGCAGGTAATGTTTGGTGGCATCTATGGATGTTTAAATAATTTCATTTTAAAAGAGATAAGTTCTGTATTCCAGTAGTTTTATAGAATGTTTATTTACATCTTCTACTTCTCACACGCACGCACGCATGCACACATACTTACAGTCAGATGTTATCCAATTTCAAACATAGGAGCATTTCTAAATATGTCACTGTCAGTCTCTGACCAACAAAAAAAATTACCCACCAGAGCAGGGAAGGGTGCCCATAGTCAAACCTTCTCCCTCGCCAGGTAAGTGTGTGCACCTGGCTTGCAGACAAGGTTTGTTGTTGGCATGGTGGTGGTTCAACAGCAGGAGATGGTGGTGGCGGGACAGCAGGAGCTGGTGGCTGTATTGATGTTTTGGATTGGCTTCTGGATTTCTTTCTTGGATGTTCGTCTTCACTGTCATCAGAATCCCCCCCAAAAATGACAATAATTTGGACAGGGAAATAACACTCAGTTGTCATGGTACTCTCGTTTCCATAATCTTTAAGTAGTTATTTAAGTCAGTTTTTATACTAGGTAACCTGTATTGTCTTCTCGGACATAGAAACTTGGATAAATGTTCCATACACAACATTTGCATGCATGCTTCAATTACAATTCACAGGAAAACATGGAAAGATGCTTACATCGCCTTTGGCTTCCTCTTGGGTCGCATGTCCTCTTCCTCCTCTTCTGTCTGCAGGTTGGAAGTGTGGCATGACGTGACTAATTTAGGTGTTGTCTTGCCTCGAAGAACTGATCTAAAATTTGGTAAAAAATTATATTTTCAGATAATTGAAAGATTGAAGTCATACTTATTATATATAAAAATAATTTACACACACACATATATATATATATATATATATATATATATATATATATATAATAAGTAGCTTACCACATGATTTAAGAATTCGGACATCATACGTTTCCCATTCAGGTCCCGGCTCCTTTGCCCGGTTCACGCTTGCATCACCTTTATAATTTGGCCAACAGGTCACGCCGTCACTGTACCAGTTCTCGGGCACCACTGCTACAGTTTTGTTGACGGTGAACTCAACTAGGTGGAACATCCTAATTGAAAAGGAGAAACACTAAACATTATGTTTACAAATATGAAATTTTTACTGAAGATGCAATTGATCAAATACTTTCTGTAACTAGCAGGTAATGTTTGGTGGCATCTATGGATGTTTAAATAATTTCATTTTAAAAGAGATAAGTTCTGTATTCCAGTAGTTTTATAGAATGTTTATTTACATCTTCTACTTCTCACACACACGCACGCATGTACACATACTTACAGTCAGATGTTATCCAATTTCAAACATAGGAGCATTTCTAAATATGTCACTGTCAGTCTCTGACCCTCACGGCTAACATCATTCTAACAAAACCGCTTTATTACAAGGGGAATTGTGCATCAATTACTTTTAAAAAAAACTTCAAAAAGGTTCTGCAATATATGGCTATTGACAGCCAAACAATAAACAGTTGCTATGATAGATCAACTAATTTCAAATAAAACTGTTGTGTTCAGGAGCAACACATCTACTTTTGTGTGTAGTTGCACCACTAAAATGTGTGAAACAGGGGGATGACCACAAACCCATTCTTATGTGGAAGAACACATATTCGCGCAAGCTCAGAAACTTTAACACACTTCAGTGTGTCTGATGTGTGAGAAATTGTATAAATATGTAGATAGTCAAAGCTGAATGGGTAAGTGAAGAACAAAGACTTGTTTGAAATTTCTTTGTAAATCACATATACTCCATCATTGCACTCTATAATATTATGTATGCAGCAAATGTAATTTCCAATGACAAAAACATTATCTCTGGATGAAATTTTAACTGTCCACTTGTCACAGGTGCAATGATCATAGAGGGTAAAGTTCAGGTGTAGGGAATGAAATGCACTAACTATGTACTGGAAAAGTGTCGCAAAAAGATCAAAATGAATATAACCCTATATTCCTCTGGCGTTAAAGATGTTCTCTTTCGCGCGTAGACATCCATGCATTATATGTCGATGATTCGCGCCGAGTATACATCCGCGCCAACCAGGTATCAATCCGCACAGTGTGAAAGTCATCAAGCATCAATATAGACGACCCAGATCCCAACCCAACTTTGAGAATATATTAACGGCGTCATTTTTTAAATCGCGCGATAAGAGTCTGGCTTTGCCGCAGCACGTAAACGCGGACAACGGCCCACCCCTTATATATATATTATATATATAGCAATATATATATAGCAATATATATAGCAATATATATATATATATATATATATATATATATATTCACACACATCTATGTAATGCATGCAAGTCTAGTGATTTCCTTTTCCTCCAGTCACTTATTCTTAGTTTTAAACCAACCTGCATATTGGCCATCTCCAGGATTATCCTGAGACATGAATTCCCTATCTGTTGATGTAGCATACAAACAGCATCAATTAATTTTTAATGATTATTTTTATGAAAATATACTTCATCAGTAAATTGTACATTTTTTTAAGCACCATTGCATCCATGTCTCTCTGAAGTCCAAGGGTCAAGATGTCATTTCTGGAAAGGCAAGTTGGTCCGTCTTTGATGATGAGCTCATTTCCAGGTCTTGTCACATCCAGGACATAATTGATCTAGGGTAATGAGTATAAAAAAAAAGAACCATTTATCCAACAGAACATGTTGTAGGGATCAAAGGAACAGCGTTAGGCTGGTTTAAATCCTACCTGTCTGACAGATTTAATTTTGTAAATGTACATGACAAATCGTCTTCATACTCCAGGGTAACTTGTGGAGTACCACAGGGTTCAGTGATTGGACCAATTCTTTTTACTATATATATGCTTCCAATTGGTAAAATCCTTAGACAACATGGGATAAACTTCCACTGTTATGCTGACGATAGTTATATTTATCCATTAACCCTGATGAACCTAATCGGTTGGGTAGATTACAGGCTTGTCTTGAAGACATAAAACATTGGATGACTCTAAACTTTTTGCTTTTAAATCAAGACAAGGTGGAAGTTCTCATCTTTGAACCAGAAATCCAGAAAAGGAAATTGCTTAGCCAATCACCTGACCTGAATGGCATTACATTAATCTCCGAGAACAAAGTAAGGAACCTTGGTGTTATCTTTGACCAGGACATGTCATTCAAATCCCAGGTTAAACAGGTTTGTAGGATTTCCTTTTTCCACCTTCGGAAGATTGCTAAGATTAGAAGCATCCTTTCCAGGAGTGATGCTGAAAAACTAGTTCATGCATTTATTACATCAAGACTGGATTACTGTAATTCATTACTCTCAGGAAGTCCACAGAATGTGGTTAAAAGTCTTCAGCTTGTCCAAAATGCTGCAGCTAGAGTTCTGATGAGAATTAAAAAGAGAGATCATATCTCTCCTGTCTTAGCTTCCCTACGTTGGCTACCTGTTAAATTCAGAATAGATTTTAAGATACTTCTTCTCACATATAAAGCTCTTAATTATCAAGCTCCATCATACATCAGTGATCTGATTGTTCCATACTTTCCTAACCGAGCACTTCGCTCTCAGATTGCAGGTTTACTGGTGATTCCCAGAATATCTAAAATTAGGATGGGAGGCAGATCTTTTAGTTATCAGGCTCCTCTCCTGTGGAACCAGCTATCAGCCTTAGTCCATGAGGCAGACACTTTGTCTACTTTTAAGAATAGGCTTAAAACATTTTTATTTGATAGGGCCTATGGTTAAAATCTGATGTTAGCCTAAATCTGGACAAGTGGGGGAGTAGAGGGAGGTGGAGTGTAGAGTCGGTAAAGACGGCTCTCCCTTGCCCTGCCTCCAACATGCCTCCATCTAAATAGGATAGATTATCCAGAGTTCTGCTGAGCTGTGGTGACCTCATGGAGGGGGCCATCGTCTAGCACACTGTTGCTAACCGCTAAAACATTCTCCCTCTCCTGATAATAACTTTTTGCTTTCCTTGACGTTGGATGTGCTACTACTAGTTTATCCATTTAATTATAGATCCACTAGGATAAATACAATAAAGTTTATCTCTCACCAAATAGAATATTTACCAAGACATCACAATATAACTATAGACACAGTACTTGTCTTTGTGTGTGTGCGTGTGCGTAAGTGTGTGTGCGTGCGTGTGTGTGTGTGTGTGTGTGTGTGTGTGCGTGTGTGTGTGCCTGCTCTGTCTTCTCGATCCCCAGTGACTCGTGGAGGATGGCAGCTTATACTGAGCCAGGATTCTCTGGAGGTTTCTTCCTGTTAAAAGGGAGTTTTCCTCTCCACTGTCGCTTTATGCTTGCTTAGTATGAGGATTGCTGTAAAGTCACTGACACTAGTCAGTGACTTGACGCAATTTGCTGGGTTCCTTATACAGGAAACATTATTTCTGATTGGCTTAATGAACTGACCTGAATTGGAATGTTTATGTGAAGTGCCTTGAGACGACTCTTGTCGTGATTTGGCGCTATATAAATAAACTTGAATTGAATTGAATTGAATTGAATTGAATTGAAAGTTAACAATAATGACAGTATGCAGAAATATCTGTTTACCAGCTGCTCCTGCAGTGAATGATGACCCTTTATAGTCCATGAAGTTCTGCAGGGCTTTAGAAATGAAATGGCTGTTATGGCCTCACATTTCCTCGAACACTGGTTAATGTTCACGAGATCCAATTGCACTGTATTTAAATAAAGAACATCATCACGTCCTGCTCATGAGACATGTTTGTCTAACAAACCATTTATATAGATGACTTTCCACAAAAGGATGGCCAACTACCTTTGGGATCTGCTGGAAGTGGAGTTCCGCTCAGAAAAAGTGTAGTTTCTAGAAATTATAATTAAAAAATAAATATAGCTGTGCATACATTACATTAAACATTCTTAACTGTTTATTTTAAATTACACACCCATTACGGCCTTTCCAGATGAATCCAGTGTGATATCTGCTGATGATATTTTATGAATGTCGGCCAGGGTCTTCTCATTCAACATATTGTGATGATGAATGATAGCGCGCATGAGAAAGATATGGCTCCCTGGAGACATCATATTTAGAAAGTAGTTATTCTTCCTCATTTTGGAGAACAACTGCTCTGCTACTTGAGAATTCACCCAACCGTGCAGTTCGAGTAACAGTGAAAATTTCCTCAAGCAGTCTTTTACTTCTCTGGTGTTGGCCTCGTGGAAAGTGTCATACAGAGCATAGTGTGCAGCTGAACCTGTAGAGGGGTGTGCATTGCTGTCTGCATGCTGCTTTTTAACCTTCAACCATGGCAGGTTTACTTTCAGATCACCTTTCTGGGCAGACTAAAGGTTTTCTGGCGTGGCATCAGCAAGTCTGCCTTCATTTGGCATAAAGGGGATTTTTAAAGGTTCACGCAGGTTTGTGTGCGTGGCCAAACCTCTTGCAAAATCATATATGACTGCATTAGGAAAGTACTTAAATGATAGCAACATATTACAATAGTCCCTCGTACTTTCTGCCCTCACATTGAGCGTGATAGAATTCATGCTTCCACAGGGGCACATTATAACTGCCCAGCCACCTTAACAAGAAACAAAGAAAGGGACGTTAGAGATTATATTATACACACACACACACACACACACAATCTCTGATAAGTTTTTTGTGTTTTGATAAGCTTACCAGATGCACCCCACACTTCTGAAAAGACCTTGTCAAAAGCACTGCGACTTTTCATCTGCTCTTTCAACCTGACGACAAGATTCATTTTGGAACCCGTGGACTCAAGGCCACATTGTTTGTCCAGGTTTCGCACTGCATCAACCTGTGAAAACATGGGCAAATACTTGACCAGACACAGAAACTGTAATGCAAAGATGCTAACATAAATTAGATTTTAAAATATGGGTTGTTTTCAGGTGTTTTTGTTGTGGTCTGTTAGCCCAGGCATCACCGCTAATCTCACCTTCAAGTTGATACTTTCATTAATCAATCTGTCCTCAGATCATCGACATATGGGATCAGCTGACAACACCCGGTCGAACTAGCTACAATAGGGTGACCAGGTGTCCCAGTTTACCCGGGACAGTCCCGATTTTGAGCCATTTGTCCTGTGTCCCCAAAGATTTTTACAAACCTGTTAATGTTGTCCCGATTTCACCCAGCCTTGGTCCCAAGTGTCCCGATTTTGAACTAATTGCTCATAGTTCACAGAACTAATTGTCACTGGGTTGTTTGTATGTCAGTCAGAAAGTTGTCATAGTGACATTAGCTCAACTTTATGTCACATGTCTGTGTAACCTAATGCTCATTGGTTGATGACAACGCCGTTGACGCAAGACGGCTCCTAAGTCCTGCGTAAAGACGAGTCACCAAGTCACTCGTTGTTCAGCATGCCTAAAAGATGGTCAAGACTAACAAAAGAGCTACTGGAACAACACAGCTTTCTCAGGAAGGTGCCAGGTGCAGCCTGCTACAGACTGAACTGCATTGTGCACTATGTGCGCTGCACATCCTACACCAACCAGACTGTTGGGGGTGGCCTGATCAAGTTTATGAAAAACATTGTTTTGTCCTCGTCTTGCTTTTCCTCCTAAATTTGTATTGGTGTTGTCTGCACAAAAGCCGACCACTTTATCCACCAAACCGAATGCAGATAGGCACCTGTAAACCTCATCACACAGCAGGGTTGAGGTCTCACCTGGTAGTGATGTAAAGTCGAGTATCTTCACTCTGACCCCCTCGGTTATTTTGAAGTAGCGCACAACAACAGGAACAAGCTTCACTGCCTTGTGGTTTGATGTGTCAACTGCGACAGAGACCAGAGTAGTATCCGTAGTGTCTTCTTTTAGCAAATCTATAGCATGCGGGGCAATTACACTTGTCACCACTGCCTCAGCTTTGGTCCGAGCACACGTAAAACGCTGGTCATAAAATTTTCGAAGTAGTCCAGCAGTACAGTCCATTGAACGAAAGTTGTGATTGTGCTTAACAAGGTGGTAGGCAAATGTATCGCGTCAGACCCGTGCCACAACCCGTGCACGCGCATTGGGTCCACAGCGCGCGTGTGAACGGGACTCGCGAGCGAAAATATACATGGCGAGAGGTCATTTGTGCACTGAGAGGGAGCAAACTGCGTCTGTGAGCGCACAAGGATGTGCACAAGTGACAAACCTGCGTGCGCGCGTTTCCAACGAGCACACGGCAGAGGAAAACGTGCACGCGCGGCAGCCTCTCTGCGCGCTCGGCAGCCTCTGCGCGCTCGGTTTCTAATTCCGCTCGCTCGGCTGTGAGGAGTTTTGGCACTCTGGAGGCGTGGCCTGTGGCAGATCTTCCCTGTCCTCTGATTGGTTAGTTTACCCCGCACTTTACTCTCTAGCTATCTATATAAAAAAATCTGAGATTCAGCAGTTGCTGTCATAGCTCAGCTGGGAGAGCGGGTGCCTCTCACTCTGGAGGATCCAGGTTCGAGTCTGGCCGAGGAACATAGAGTTGATGTCATAATATTCTTTCCTAATTCCTGTGATATTATTTTACAGTTGTGACCGTTCAACTGTCATTAAACGTCCGAATGTTTACTTGGCAGTGTTTTAAAAAGTGCACATAAGCTAGATGGTTTAAACCAGGTAAAAATAGACTTGTGGGTGTAGGTATGTTCAAGTTTAAAAAGTTCTTGCCTCATTAATGTATTGTTTATTTTTTTCAGCATTTAATTGACAAATTATCCTTTCAAATAATTAATTGATGAGTTACATAATTGTCCATTTAGAATTGTTGAATGGACTGAGTCAAGTTTGGTGCACTTTATATATTTCAAAACATGTTGTTTTTAATTATGCATATAAATAATTTTAATGTTAATTTATTGAAATATTTCTATTTTTTCATTACCTCACCCTTGTTTTGACAAAAACAAGACCTTGCTGGATAATATCACGGAGAAACTATTTGTTCACAGTACTTGGCTCAGTGAGGATCTGTGTACCAAAGGAGGAGATACTCAGAAATCTGTCTGCAGATTGTTACAACCCAGACTGGAAGTGGTGGGCTGTAATAAGAAAGGAGACCAAACAGAGGAGTGGGGGGTTCAACATCTGATTTATTTAACCAAAGTTTAGTAAATCCTTACTTTGGTTAAATAAATCAGTTGTTGAACCCCCCCACTCCTCTGTTTGGTCTCCTTTCTTATTACAGCCCACCACTTCCAGTCTGGGTTGTAACAATCTGCAGACAGATTTCTGAGTATCTCCTCCTTTGGTACACAGATCCTCACTGAGCCAAGTACTGTGAACAAATAGTTTCTCCGTGATATTATCCAGCAAGGTCTTGTTTTTGTCAAAACAAGGGTGAGGTAATGAAAAAAATAGAAATATTTCAATAAATTAACATTAAAATTATTTATATGCATAATTAAAAAAAACGTGTTTTGAAATATATAAAGTGCACCAAACTTGACTCAGTCCATTCAACAATTCTAAATGGACAATTATGTAACTCATCAATTAATTATTTGAAAGGATAATTTGTCAATTAAATGCTGAAAAAAATAAACAATACATTAATGAGGCAAGAACTTTTAAAACTTGAACATACCTACACCCACAAGTCTATTTTTACCTGGTTAAAACCATCTAGCTTATGTGCACTTTTTAAAACACTGCCAAGTAAACATTCGGACGTTTAATGACAGTTGAACGGTCACAATTGTAAAATAATATCACAGGAATTAGGAAAGAAAATTATGACATCAACTCTATATTCCTTGGCCGGACTCAAACCTGGATCCTCCAGAGTGAGAGGCACCCGCTCTCCCAACTGAGCTATGACAGCAACTGCTGAATCTCAGATTTTTTTATATAGATAGGTAGAGAGTAAAGTGCGGGGTAAACTAACCAATCAGAGGACAGGGAAGATCTCCCACAGGCCACGCCTCCAGAGTGCCAAAACTCTTCACAGCCGAGCGAGCGGAATTAGAAACCGAGCGCGCAGAGGCTGCCGAGCGCGCAGAGAGGCTGCCGCGCGCGCACGTTTTCCTCTGCCGTGTGCTCATTGGCAACGCGCGCACGCAGGTTTGTCACTTGTGCACATCCTTGTGCGCTCACAGACACAGTTTGCTCCCTCTCAGTGCACAAATGACCTCTTGCCATGTATATTTTCGCTCGCGAGTCCCGTTCACGCGCGCGCTGCCATGTATATTTTCGCTCGCGAGTCCCGTTCACACGCGCGCTGTGGACCCAATGCGCGTGCACGGGTTGTGGCACGCTTTAAACGCCATACAAATGTTGCTTCCTGAGCAGCGCGTTTAAGGTCTTTGTCTCCAGCAGCAGTAGCACTAAAAACATGCTAACCGAACTTCCCGCCTGTTACCACCGCTTGTGTTTGCTAGTTTTAATATGGTTCTGCACGTCCGCGTTTCCACCATGATCAACGGAGAATTCACACTTACATAAGGCCGAAAACCGAGCATATTCATTTCCTGGCACCTTCCTGAGAAAGCTGTGTCGTTCCAGTAGCTCTTTTGTTAGTCTTGACCATCTTTTAGGCATGCTGAACAACGAGTGACTTGGTGAATCGTCTTTACGCATGACTTAGGAGCCGTCTTGCGTCAACGGCGTTGTCATCAACCAATGAGCATTAGGTTACACAGACGTGACATAAAGTTGAGCTAATGTGACATTGAGAACTTTGTTGTCAAGGTTTTTGGATATTTTCACATCTACACTGTCCAAACTGAGGAGCTGAAAGACTTCTGTTCATTTGTTGATGTTGAACATGCCACTCTCCTTGGGACCAGCAGAACCGATTGGCTCTCAATGGGACCTGCAGTTGAGGGTTCTGAAGCTTTATCCAGCACTTCAGTCCTACTTCAGGTCTCAGGGAAAAGCACCAAATTTAATCATCAAGTTCCTAGAAAACCAAGTGTGTGAGGCCTGGTTGTGGTTTACACACATTACAACCAACTGTCACTGTTCAATGACACCATCAAAAAGATGGAGAAAGAGAAGAGCACAGCTGTCCACGCTGCACAGCACCTGTGTGATCTACAGGAGAAACTTTTGGAGAGGAAGGCCGCCCTCTTCATGGGATTAAAGGTGAGTTTAAACATGTTCAAATTAAAAGTAATTTAAAAACAAGGCTCTTATATTAATGCTTCTTGAATTATTATTGGTGTTTTTTTCAGGTGAAGAGCATTCTGGCTACCCAAGAGCGCCCTCAAGTGGAGGTGTTTAAGCAAAGCGTCCACACCTTCTATGAAGGTTGCATCTCATATCTGCAGGAGTGGAGCTCCTCATTTACTGACATGAAGTGCTTCTCTTGGACCCTGCTCGAAGATCCACCAGGTTGGGATGCGGTTGAGAGCTCCCTGAGGTGTGTCTCCTCAAAGCTGCCAAACATTCACATCAATGAAACGGAGCTCTTTGACGAAGTTACTTCTGTCAAAACTTACACATCTGACAAGATTGGACTGTGGGACCGAGACATTAAACCAGCAGATGAGCGCTGGGCTGAAATCTTTACACATTTTAAGCATCAGAATGTCCCATTTAAAAATGTAGCCGTCATCTGCCAGTTTGCCATGTGCCTACCTGGCACAAACGCCTCTGTGGAACGCATTTTTTCTCTCATGAACAACACTTGGACCAATGAGAGAAATCGTTTGAGACTGGAAACTCTGAAGGCACTGCTCATTACTCGGGTGAACTTTGATGGCTGCTCTGAGTTTCATGCCAGACTTGTTGACAACCACAGTCTGCTTAAAAAGATTCACTCAAACATGAAATACGCTTAAAGAGTTACTGTGACATTAAAGGGAACAATAGGGCTGTTCATTTAGTGCAATATTTTTGTTTCTAAAAAACTTGAAGTCAGTGAAATACTTTTTTTGTTCACAAAAGGGCTAAATTTAATATTGCCCAAACAAATGTGTTTAAAAAAATACTGTATTGGTTTGGAAAACAATTGCACTAAAAATATTAGAAAAACTGTCCTTATTCTGAATATAGATCAAATGTTTCTGTTCTTGCACATTCTACAATCAAAAGCTGTTATTAAGGTCAGTTAAATTCTTTGTTTATCTTTTCACAAAAGGGCTACATTTAATATTGCCCAATGTGTTTCACAATACAGTACTATTTTGAAAAAGAAAATAACAAAATATTGCACTAAAAAAAGAATGTCCTTATTTTTAATAGGATGTTCAAATGTTGCATTTGTACAATAAAAAGCAGTTATAAGTCACCAGCAAGGATTTGTCAGTCTTTAATTTAGTGTAAAACTTTGGTGTCCCAGTTTTCAGTTTTTTAAATCTGGTCACCCTAGTTAAAGCACAAGGGACAAATAATCATGAAGAACAGAAACAAGAGACAATAATAACAGTAGTGTGAAAATAAAAGTATAAATAGAAACTCCACAATCTGAAAATGAAAAAGACTGTTATACCAGTGTTTCCACATCTTTGACTGGTGGTTTACACCTTTAGCCATGTTTAAAATTAAGAATTTCGTTAATATTGGATGAAAATGACTAATTATGATTATATTATTTTACTTAAAATACCTATGGTGTGCCCCCTGTTTGCACATTACATTTGCGAAGGGAAATTCTTTTTGCATGTGCAGCAGTCAATGCCCCCATTAGCATTTTACTAGTAAGTACTGGTCTGCAGACAGTTAAATGTTACAGCCTCTATTTATTACACAGTACAAGCACACTCCTTCCACAATTCCACAAAACTTTCTCACCTTTTGCAGGATGCTTGTACTTTTTGGTGAAAAACTTGATTATGAAAATAAATAATCCCAAACAAAATGAGACAAATTCAGCAAAGAGCTCAGAGGTAAAGTCTCTGTCTTTGTTGGGTCGATAGTTGAACTGAGTGCACTTATGAGGTCCTGGCCCAGCCGCTCACCCTGAGGTTAAAGGGGCAGTGTGTAATGTGTGTACTCTGCAGAAAATTGCTACTCTTTAGCGCCAATGAGCTCAGAGTACAAATTGCAGCTACAGTGGCCCATGCATCAAAAGGCAGTCTCTCCAGCTTTCTGCGATTAAGCAATAATAAAAAAAAACATTTTTTTAATACGACTGTTATATTTAACCTACCAGATCTGATGGAAGCAGTTCTGTCAGGTCGCTTGAAGAGTACTTCTATCAACGAGTCATACACGGAGGAGGGGTCGCGTCTGCCGTGGAGTCCAGTGTTGCATGAATCTCAGGGAGTAGCGGTGGAGTAAAAAAGCCTGCTGCCACTTAGCAACCAGCTAATGGATGAACTCTGCCTCAAGCTGGGAGACACTGTGGAGAAAGAGCCGACTACACTTGCTGCATGTTAGCAACCGGCTAGCAGAGAAAAGCTGGCATGAGTCAGGGACATGCTGTGGAGATGAAGTAAACAATGCTTATGTGGCAAGGTGGAGAAACGAGGGCCCGGGCGGGATTCGATCCCCAGACTCCCAGGTGAGAGTCACGCACGCTAACCAGTCAGCCAAAGGGACATCCCCTTGGCCAAGTAGCCAGGGCGCATGATCAATCGGGACACTGTGACAGGATACTCATACTGCCACACTGACTTAGCCACCGGCTAGCAGACGAGTGCTGGAGCATGGTGAGAGAGAAACAGCAGGCTGCGGAAAGAGAATAGACCAAGTAGATAGATCTTTAGGGGGCATCTTGAAGGACTTTGGAACTGATTTGTTGGGCGCTCTAGTACGAAGAAAAGACAAATGAGCAACTTGAGGTGAATTAGGGACACCGCTTGGAGACTGGTGTCCAGGTACTAGCAGGCGGGGAACTATGCTGCCATTGAGAGTTGGACATGATGAGGTCCAGACAAATTTCATTTCATTTCATTCAAACCAAGTACAGCAACGGTGTAGCTATTCTCTTCTTCCTCTTAGTTGGTTGGCAGACTGCACACTTCCAAGGAATACTGCTGCCCCCTGCTGTTTCTTTCAGGTTACAGTGAGAGTGTAAATGTGAAACATGGAGCTCGTATATCCCAAAACAGCTACTGTATTTCAACATGACCATGGAGTGTCAACCACAGTTTATGTATTAAAAATGTAACATTTCAAGCTGAGAAGAATATTTAGAATAGATGTTGGTGAGAAATAGAAATAAATAAGGACAAGTTTGTGAACGGGACACAGAATTTGATAAACAGGTAAAATATTACACACTGTGGTTTTAATGAAAACTGGACATACCACATACAGGTCGTTTCGTTTTTTTAACACTGCAGAGTTTTTCTTTGCTCGTTGATTTGTTTATTTGACAAGTAGATCTGAGTAATGGATGGACTTTATGGCATGCCATATCAAACTAAGTGGAGATTTTTATTAGATCCTTGGCACGACTGCTGGTTTAGTAACCAGCATAGAGGTCTGCTGCGTAGATTCAAATATTTAATTTTTAATAGGAAAATATCAAATGTGTGAGCCACATATTTATTTTTCAGCAACCAATACCTACAATTTCACAAACACATTTTACTGATTGTTGGTCGAACTAGTTCACAGTAATTATAATTTCCTCTTAAACATCAATAAACACACAAATATAACACAAACACATCACTATTAATATCAGAGTTGGAATGGACATGGAGGCCATTTGTGCCCTTTGGGGTAGCCACAACCATGCAGTGTTTCAGATGTTCTGGGTCATTTTGTTTGAATTTATTTTAAATTAATGTTTTCTTCAGTGTCTTTCTAGCAATCCTCATAACAAAGCAAGCACGTAGAGAGGAAAACTCCCTTTTAAAAGGAAGTAACCTCCAGAGAATCCTGGCCATACACCACCACTCACTGGGGATTGAGAAATAACGTACTTGTTCAGAGCGAACAACTAAATGATCACTTAGAGTTTTTCAGTTTATCTTTTTGTGATATGTGTTTACTGCTCTTAAACATCTGGAAGTGTCAAAAAGTAAAAGCAGTAACATCTCCATGCTTAAGTTTATGAATGTAGGGCTGTGTTGGTTGACACAGCTCTACATTATTGCGTGGACATCAGGTGCGGTTCCACTGGATTGGCAGACTGGGGTGGCGGTGCCCCTGTTTAAAAAGGGGGACCGCAAGGTGTGTTCCAACTACTGAGGGATCACACTCTTGAGCCTCTCTGGTAAGGTCTATTCAGGGGTTCTGGAGAGGAGGGTCTATCGGATTATGGAACCTCAGATTCAGGAGGAGCACTGTGGTTTTCCTCCTGTCTGTGGAACACTGGGCCAGTTCTCTACACTGAGGGGGGTTCTGTAGGATGTGTGGGAGTTTGCCCAACCAATCTACATACATGTGTTTTGTGGATTTGGAGAAGGCATTTGACTGCATCCCTCAGGAGGCCCTTCAGGGGGTACTTTAGGAGAATGGGGTATCAAGCTCTTTGGCACGGGCAGTTAGATTCCTGTATGACCGGTGTCAGAGCTTGGTCTGCATTGCTGCAAGTTGGGCTTGTTTCTGCTGAGAGTTGGACTCCGCCGAGGCCGCCCTTTGTCACCAATTTTGTTCATAACCTTTATGGACAGGATTTCAAGGCACAGCCAAGGTGTTGAGGAGATCCCTTTTGGTAGCCTAAGGATCAGGTTTCTGTTTTTGCAGATGATGTGGTCCTGTTGGCTTCATCAAATAGCAATCTCAAGCTTTCACTGGAGAGGTTCTCAGCCAAGTGTAACGCAGCTGGGATGAGAATCAGCTCCTCTAAATCCGAGACCATGGTCTTGGGTTGGAAAAGAGTAGAATGCCTTCTTTGGGTCAGGGACAAGGTCCTTCCTCAAGTGGAGGAGTTTAAGTATCTCGGGGTCTTGTTCACGAGTGAGGGAAAAATGGAGCGTGAGGTCAATAGGCGGAATGGTGCTGCATCTGCAGTGATGCGGGCGTTGTACCAATCTGTCGTGGTGAAGAGAGAGTTGAGCAGGAAGGCGAAGCTCTTGATTTACCGATCGATTTACATACCCTCATCTATGGTCAGGAGCTTTGGGTAGTCGCTGAAAGAACGAGATCGCAGATGCAAGCAGCTGAAATGTGTTTTCTCCGCAGGGTGGCTAGGAGAGGGTCCCTTAGAGAGAGAGGTCCCTTAGAGAGGGACGTTCTGGGGCGACAGTGACAAAGGAGTTAAGTGCTTGCCTTGTAATCAGAAGGTTGCAGGTTCGAGCCCCGCTCAGTCTGTCGCTTTTATTATGTCCTTGGGCAAGACACTTAACCATGCCTAACCCTTATCCTGCTGGTGGTGGTGGTCAGAGGGACCGGTGGTGCCTGTGTACGGCAGACTCGTGCTCCAGGGCATCTGTGGCTACAATGTAGCTCATCACTACCAAGGTGTGAATGCATGAATGACTGATTGTGTTGTAAAGTGCCTTGGGGGGGTTCTAGGACTCTAGAAGGCACTATATCATATACAGGCCATTTACCATAGAGATAGTGTGGGAAGCTCAGTCATCCAGGAGGGGCTCCAAAAAGACCCGCTGCTCCTCTACATCGAAAGGAGCCAGTTGAGGTGGCTCGAGCATTTAATTAGGATGCCACCTGGACTCCTCCCTGGTGAGGTTTTCCGGGCACGTCCAACCGGGAAGACCCAAGACACGCTGGGGGGACTATGTTTTTCGGCTGGCCAGGAACCACCTTGGGATTCTGCTGGAGGAGCTGGCCCAAAAAAAAACGGGGAGAGTGAAGTCTGGCCCTCTCTGCTTAGGCTACTGCCCTTGCGACCCAACTCTGAATAAGTGGCTGAAAATGGATGGATGGTTTATAGGTTTACCATAACTCAGCAACAGAGCCAAGACCTTCTATCAGATTAGTCATTGTAAATGCTGTCAGGGACACCAGGAGACATGGGACACCACGAGGTGTGTCTCATACTGTTTGTGTACAGTCATCAGGTCTTCAGACCACAGTAATGGTGTGAGCTTTGCACGTTGCATGTGTGATTTCCCTGTGTGGATATTAGAAGGCCTTTCACTTGTTGTGGAGCTTCTTGGTATAATGCAGGTGCTTCTGGGTGCTCAGCAGATAAGAATTGGTGTGCCAGGTGTTAAAGCTGTCTGAGCTGACACATTAGATGGGGATTTGCTCATGCAAATCATGTCTCATGAATGTTAGGCCAATGAGGCTCATAGAGGCAGGCTTGGATCACTGTCAGGGACAGGTAA